CGGATCTAGGATTTTCTCGAGGAGGAGGCGGATTTTCAAAAAAAAATTCGAAACCTTTGACGACCTTTTTTTTTTTTTTTAAGGTCGACCAAATTGATTTTTCGAGCTCTCCCAAAGCACTGTTTTGCCCCTATTTTGGCTAAAATTTTCTGCGCCGAAATTCTGCGTGAAAAAATTTTGACCAAAAAATTGCATTTTTTTGGCGCGCGTTCCCCTCAAAGTTAGTATATATTGGCGCCAAAGACGCTTTTAGAAAAATTTTAGGGTCGGTCGGCCAAAAATGGATTTCTGAAAAAGTATCAAAGGGGAACCCTTTGGGTCGGCAGGGGGTCAAATCCCTGAGGAGGAAGAGCGTCCGCCCCCCCCCCCCCCCCCCCGTCCCCTCCCCCCCCCTAAAATCCGCCCCTGTATAATATATATATATATATAGTAGGTGTTAATAGAATAAAAAAGAGTGGATATGAAAGGGTTTGCCCATCACTCCCAGGAGTTCAAACCCTCACCACCTAGAGGTTCTTCTTCTGGTACTGTTCTATGCCGCAGTGAAGTTTCATGGATAATTTTTTGGTCATATTGCATTTTTATAGTCTCTCTAAAATTCAAATTCAATCGATTAGAATTGATTAGAAATGGATTATATTGTAAAAACTTTTGAAGCAATATAGAGGGTCATAGAGGGGGAGGTAGTGAACCGTGATTTTATGGGTGAACGCGTGTTCTGTTCGTTCGGGCTCGAGTTCTGCAGAAAGCTGCAAAAAAGTAGCTTAAAATTTTGGAAAAAATTAATCGATTATTAAAAACAAAAATGGATTTTATTTATATCTGAGATTATAATTGATTATAATTGGTTTTTGGGGTTGTTGGGATAATTGATTTTTTTTTCTGAAAACAGTCGATTATAATGGATTAAAAATCCATTTTGTTTCTTAAACTTTGCCGTAGACAAAATTTTAGTCAAAAATAATCCAATATAATCAATTTTTATCCACGAAACTTCGGTGCAGGATGATATCCGTTTTTGGTATAACAATCTCAAAATTTTTCTATAAGCATCTTTGGAATTATAGTATAATTATTTTCATGGGAGCAGTGTAACAATGCAGGAATTGACTTAAATTGTTCTTTTGGTCTCTTTTTTCAAAAGTTCACCTGTGGCGCAAAAAAGGATAGAAAAATTTGTATTTTTCAAAAACTCGAATGCGCATTTTCTTTTGTTTCTATAGTATTGTGAAGAGCTCGGAAAATTAGTATGCGCCTTATAATAATAATAATAATAAAAAATTGTTTCCATACGATATCTAGTTACCAAGTTATTTATAAAAATTTATAAATACAAATTAGAATCGTTTGGGAGAACACCCAATAAAGGTCAACAAAGATTTCGAACTATTACTGACGATCCCACCTCCCCTCGAGAAATTTCTGTTACCATCAGTCACGTTTTGTTCTTTAGGCGTCCACAATGTCAGTGGGACTCACTGGACCTCTGAACTTGAACGGATTCGGAGAAAGAATGCCCAAGACTGTTGACGTTGCTCAGAGGGTCGGCGAAGACATTCAAATAGTAAGAACATGCATTTTGCATTCATAGACTAACTTTCACATATTTAAACTTCACTAACCTTTCTGTATAACCAAAATAAAATTGTGCTCTATCGGTTCAAATAAAGTATTAGAAAACCGGCGGTCGTCCTAAACCCCGACTGATAAATTAACCTGTTGTATCGAAATCAGTCTTATTCTCCCAATCCCAATTAATCAACTGTGTCGCTTAACCACGAGACTTGCCGCAAGCACTACTAAAGAAACTTAAGACCGTATTTTCAACCGTATTTTCAAAACTCGAACTGAACCGCCTGTCAGAAACTTGTGGCTTAGTTCTGGTTCTTGCAGTTGCATATGTCTTTTAAGCGTGGTCTCGACTAAGATTACTCAAGATCAACACAAGTTAAAATGCAGAAAATTAAATTAAAATCGTTCTACTTGTTCCTTGCAAACGAATCTAGATAAGGGTGTTGGGCGGCTGATTCTTAACTATTCTTGGCTTGCTTAGATCAATGGCTGAGAATAAAATAAATTATGAAATTAATAGAAAATATGGTCCTTAGAAACGGCTGATACCCCCTTTTTGCTCCATACCAGGCGCGGATTTAGGAACTTCTCGAGGGGGGCGGATTTTCAAAAAAAAATTTGAAAATTTTGTCGACCTTTTTTTAAGGCCAAATTGATTTTCTGAGCTCTCCCAAACCACTATAAAGCCTGTAATATGACCCAATTTTCTGTGCTACAGGCATATTTTTGAAAAAAAGGCCAAAAAAAGGCGTTTTCAGACATTTTTTGGAAAACTTCGTTCCTCAAAATTAGAATAGATTGGCGCCTAAGGCGCCTTTAGAAAAATTTTAAGGTTAGTTAGCCAAAAATAGATCTCCTCAAAAAATATTGCCTCAAAAAAAGCTCGTAAGCTCGTAAGCTTCTTGATAAAGGGCTTTCATCTGTGATGCAGAGAAAAAATATTGTCTCAACTTGACTATGACACTGAAATTCAGCCCAGTCTCGATCAAACCTCCTTTTAAAGTTAATTTATCTATTTCAATCGCCTTTGTTTTAGAAAAAAATAACATAAACCGGAAAAACTTTCTTTTTTGAATTTTTTTCTGAGCTCAGAGCAGTCGAAACATTTTGTGATTCTTATTCACTTTCAACGTTGCTTTATCCTTTTCAATCGCTTTTACATCAGATAAAAAATTTGGGAAATTTTTATTTTTGAATTTTGTGCTGAGCTCAGAGCAGTCGGAAGGTTTTGTGCTACTTGCACGAAAGTACCCAGCAAAGGCTTTTTATTTGGATAGAAACTTTATATAGATAACCTGACCTAATTTTAGAAACTTATTATTTCTCATCTAACATTAGAAATATACCACTTCTAGAAAGAATATTTTTAAATCAGCTCACTGCTCAACCGCAACGAGATTTTAAAAAATTTCAAATGCTTTGATGGCTCTTTTCTAGTTCCACCCCTTCCCCCTTGATATTTTCTAAACTTTAATAGTTGAAAGTCTATTTAAAACGACATTTCATGTTATAAATTGCAATGAAATGTGTCAGCGTGAACAAGTGAACAAGTGTGTCCGAGTGTTGAACACAAAAGTCTAGCTAACGGGTAAGCATGGGTTCGACTCCCACCATCAGAAAGTTTTCTAGCTAAAAACAGCCTTGTTTTAGGTAGTTTCTGATGAGAAAGACGATCAAAAGTTTTAAGAAAACCCCTGCTTGATTTAAAGATTCTGTCAGATAATTAGATTAGAAGTTAATTGTTTCTCATCAGAAATAAAAAAAAAATTTGGTAAGGGCAGCTACTGGACATTCTTGCTTTTCAAAAGCTTGATGCTTTAATTCGAAAAATAACGAAGAAAAATGTGTTCTTTCTCCAAAACAATTTTCGCTTTTGAAGTAGTGTTATCTGAAAATTTGTTTCAAAAATCTGAAAACTATACGGGGCTACAATAAATAAGTGGACACTTGATTTCAACGAGCAAGGGAATCAAAATTTTTTCTTGGCGTTTTTATGTCTTTCCTTGCAACATGCTGAGATATGGAGTTGAAAATTTAACACATGCTTTATGAAACTTGTTCAAAGGACTAAATCTGGTCAAAGCTAGAGAAACATTGCTTTGAAGCCGTAAAACAGCCAGTAATTCCTAAATAGTTTTAGAGGTGCTCTTGATGTGGAAACATCCTTGCAAACAACTTAAGAAATCTGAATCCATGGGCTGAAATTGTTTCTTTGGGACAATGACGGATTTGGCTTACTCTTTATTCCGCGGAAAAACAACACACTCACTAGGTGAAAAAATAACTGGATCCGGGGCAAAAAAAAACGATCATAAATGATTTGACCTCTAAGACATTTACGAGGTTTTGCTAGTTTTCAGAGACAACATAAGTGGTAAGGAAAATCTTGTGCATGGATTGATGCAGTCAGTTTTCAAAAAAAATTTGCTGGAGGAGGAGAATTTATTGGAACGTTTCATTAAGGGGTGCAGCAGCGGCTCTAAGGAGTTGGACGTCCCCTCTCTCCGTCCTCGGTTGTTCAACCCCCCTAACTTTTCAAAAAAAAATTCAAAATAGCGCTAAAACTTACTTGGTTCTTGTTTTTTTTTCCAAAGTTTCAATGTTTTGGTACATATTGCAATGTTCGAGAACAGTTTTCATATCATTCAATCGGTTTTTGGTTCACTGATTGAGGTTTTTTCAATGTTGAAAGCGCTCTAAGCTCTAAGCTGGTCTAAAAAATTTCTTAGCTCGTTTGAAAAAAAGTCAGAACGTTTTTTATCAACACGAAGATAATTTGTTAGAACTATCTTAATACATTTCAAAAGAAAACTCAAAGGTTTTCATATGATTGGTTATTCGTTTTTTCATGATGGTTTTTTGATGTTTAGTGAAAAAAAACATACCTGGCTACTAAGTGCATGAAAATCAGAAATTAAGAACTTATATAAAAACTTACAAAAACTAAAAAAGAACTTTCGAATTAAAATTAGGTAAAAACGTTTGGTTCCGGTCAAAAGAACACACTTAACTTAGTAATTGGCCAGGTTTTTTTCACTCAACGTTAAGACGCTTCGCAAAAAAAAAACGAGTGATATATCATACTGGAGCACTTTTCAGTTTTCTTTGGGCTGTAGTAAAAAATCTATCGAATTGTCTCCGTGTTAATGAATTATTTTCTGAATTTTTGAAACCAACTAAGAGCTTAAAGCAATTTGAATATTTTGTATATGCTCAATCAGGAACCAATAGCAGATTGGCTCATAAAAAAATCTGTTCTGAAACATTGACTTGCTCATCATTTGTACTATAAAGATCAATTCGTTTCATGAACATCAGCTGATACGATGTTTTATTATGATGAAAAACTTAGCTTTTCACGAACCGTCTTGATGTTAATTGAAAAAAGAACCGACTATTAAGAGTATTCTTTGAGGTTTTCGAGGACCGAACATTAAGTCTGAGCTTTTTTCAAAAAGTGTTTTGTTTTAGGTTGGAAACTGGAGTGTTGAAAATGGTACAAATATCACCAGCAATTCCGCAGCTGACGAGTCTCTGGAACTGCTGAACAACAGAACTATCAGAGTGACAACCATTATTGTACGTGATATAAAAATTCTGTTCATTTTTGAACATCTACCAGTAATGGATATCAAGCATAATGTTTTACCCCTTCCCATACCCCTTCGCTAGTATTGATTATCACCCCTATAGTAGCTAGTATCGAATATCCCCCAATGAAGGAATATGTTACGGTTTGAGCATTAAACAATAATAAGCCTAATTCCCGTACTGCTTATCAGGGAAAAAAAGTAGCTTTCATAATTAATTTAGACAAAATATATTTTAAAAATGTGGTTCTAATTCTCAAACTTGAGTATTACAATTTTAACCAAAAAGAATTAAAACAAAAAAAAATTGTTTATTTTTTCTTGTCAAGTTTTTCGAGTTTTTCAAGAATTTTCATCGAGTTTTTTAAGAATTTGCTCTTTTTTTGGCGCAAAATTCGATGTATGATCATAAATAAAAAAGAACAACTTTTTGTCAACAAAAAATTCTATTCATACAATTTCCATTAATAGTTTTTGATGATAAAAGTCTCAAAGCTGCCCCAAAAAAAAACTTTTTTTCAATCACGCAACGAATTTGTACTCAAACAAACATTTTGTAAAGAAAAACTTTTTGCAGGCAAAACTTAGATTTTGTGTGCATAACTTAGTCCTGGATACACAAAAGTTAATTTTTTTTCCATTTCTCTGGATAATTTTTTTTTTCAAAAACGCTCAAAACGCCTATTCATTTTGCATGACTTGATCAATGCATGATTAATTGAACATTCAAATGTTTTTTTAAAAAAATCATCTTTGAAAAATTTCGGAAAAACTTGATACTTTCATTGTATCCTTTGTTTAAGAGTAATATGATTCCGCAAGTTTTCGTTGCTTTGTAATTTCAAGACGGTCGACTATTTGGTGACTCTACTTTTGAGTAGCCAAGGTCTTTGTCACTTGCGTTCGGTTACGAGCGCAACCCAAAAATTTTGAGAAAAGAAATTTTCAAAAAACTCCATTGGTGTATGGAAAAAAAATTATCCTTCAGTTTCGATTTATGAAAAATCACTAATCATAGACCTTTCATGCAACTTTTTTTACTCCTGGAATTGCACAAAAAATTTCATGACTAGCAATTTTCCATTTATCAAAATTGTATGATAAGCATTTTTGGTCAAACGGGAAATTATAGTGGTGACATTATTTATAGTAATGCATACTTTTTCTAAATTCTCAGTTTTTAGTTTATCATTTGTTAGCTATAGTAAGGATCTACTTAGCAATCTCCAACCTCTCCCCCCCCCCCCCCCCCATGGTACATAATTAAGAATATCCACCCCTATAAATAAATACAGTAAATTAGCACTGAGCTTTATATTGAGAGTTCTAATTTTGCTGCATTCTGATTGGTCGAAAAATCCACCATTTTCATCTATTTAACAATCTCTCCCCCTTTCTTGAAAGGGATGGAGATTGTTAGGTAGATCCCATAGTAAAAAATATTTTAGTAAGTCAAAGTTTTGTGTCTGAAAAGGTTTCGTTTTTTAGCAACCGCCATTCACCATGTTGAAAGAAAGAGAGGACGAGTTTTCAACGGACAGTGTGCAGTTTGAGGGGTACTGCGTGGACCTGCTGGAAAAGATGAAGATATACATGCTAAAGGACGGAATCAACTTCCAGTACACTCTGAGTCTGGTGAAGGACGGGAACTATGGGTCCAAACAGGCCGACGGATCCTGGAACGGAATGGTCGGCGAACTGCAGAGGGGGGTAAGTGTCATTGTCCGTGGGCGACAGGGAGCTGGGGTGGGGTGGGGGTGTACACGCAGTTTGGAAAGAAGAAGGAAGTTTAACTATCTGATTTTAATAACGAAATTGTTAGTTTGCTAGAATAAGTGTACTTGGCATATTCTGTGCCACCTGGGTAGTGTGCGCATTTTATTATCCTCATAACAAGAGACTTGTATTGTGACGAGCCAAAAATCAGATCATTCATATCAAAAGCAGTCATTTAAAACCTGTTTTTTTTTTACTAAACCGGTTATACGCTGGATTTGCATGGAAAAACGTATGTCGAATTTTCAATCCAGGTTGATATATCATAGAAACTTTTCATACTGTTATTTAGAGATCTCTCGACACGTTGACGCGACTGCGGCGGTAAACTACTATGCTGCTTATGCTGTTTAATTTATGCGTGAGGCGACAAATCGTCGAAAGAGAAGTTTGGTTATTGCAGGCAACAATTCATATTTTTCAAAAAAACAGGCCATAGTTTAAACTATTCGATAATTTGTAACATTTATTGAGCGACAAACAATAAGTTGTGCACTGTATTGCTCATATGTCAAATATAGGTGCAGTCGATTAAAACGGAGCTAGCGGTCGATTCCGATTAATGCTTCTTCACGGGTTTCCGCTTGTTCGAATACTTACTTTTTCCAAAAACTTCACATTTTTTGTAATATCTTTTGTATCCGAAACATGCGACAAACAGCTGAAATGAAACAATTGCAGAAAAATTAAGGACAAAAAGATTTGTGGAACATTTGCGCAAGACGATAAGAAAGACTAGTAACATCGAATCTAGTGCGGTGGAGTTTTCGTAGTCTTTGCATGATCCCTGTGCATGGAATTGAGAAAAAAAGCGGAAATCTTCCCTCGGTTAGTTTTTTCGAAATAATCCTCGTAGTTATATTTCAGTAAACGAATTGGGTTACTTTGAGTAGTTTTTAGAACGTCTCTCCTGATTTTGGATTGTTCGATTTGACTCAGTGGTTCTTTGCGATTGTGGTCAGGTTTTGGTTCCACAATAACCATTTCCGAATAACTTTTCAAGGTCACTCTTGAGGGAACATTTGTGCGGGTGCATTAAAAACAAATCTTTTAGGTGTTATTGGAATCAAAACTTATAAGTTTTCATAAACTAGTTTACGGCCTTTTTTAGAGAACGTTATAAAGCGAATCAACAATTTTATTTGGTGCTTTTAATCTCCCATAATTAGTAGTACAAAATTGGGACAGACAAAATTGAAGAAAAAGAGCAATAAATCTGTTTCAGACAGTTTTCCTTGAAAAAGCAAATTTTTTGCAGACAGAAATTATGTCTCATATCACCTGAAAAATCAAACTTGCATGCAAAACGTGCTTAAGAATGTCATATTGCTCTTTGCAAAACTTTTCTGTCTGTTTGAACTTTTTGCAACTCTCTATACATAATTGCGTGCGTATTTGTTTTAGAATTAAGGCCTTTGAAATTGGAATTTAAAAGGTATGATTTAAGCATAACTTGGTGACAAAATTGTTATTCAACCATATAAATCTGATGACGCAAAGGGGTAGTACAACAGTGCCGAAGTCCAACAATACCAAAAAGTTGTTCAACAGTGCCGAAAAAATATTTTGAACTTTTTTACTGATCCCAAATCACTGACAAGTAAATAAAATCAAATTGAAGGAAAATGAAAAGTCAAAATCAGCCATTTTATTTGCTATCGTTTGTTAAACAAACGAAAATTTCCGAAGCGCGACGTAATAACTTTTTCTGAACAAACAGTTAACTCAACAAACTAACACCTTTTCTTCTCGGTTTCGCTCCATAGCAAAACAGTATTCAAACAAATTGCCAGTTTTTCAGCTAACTAAAAATTTTCAAATATCCTAAGCTTTCGGCACTGTTGAATGCCCCCGACGCAAACATGAGGCAATTAAAATTGACAAGCAGTTAGCGTGGCTTCCCGATAGAGCGGTTTGAAAATACAGCGGTTTGTTCAAGTATCCCATACCAAACATCAAGTGTGAAAACTTGGTACGTACAAAATTAATACAATCGATTCACTTGCCCCAATTCAATTTGGACCGATTTTGTTGTGAGGCGGGATAATTCGCCACGCATAAATAAGTCGCTTTCCGCTTTCAATATTATGTGAAAAAATATTCAAAGCGCGGATAACTTATTTGAGAGCATGGCCAAATTAACAATTTTCAAACTCTCGGAACAACAAAAAAACAATAAGAGGAAAATAATATTTTTTCAAATTTGAACTCAGGGAGTTGATATATTCAATTGGGTATAAACATTTTTCGTTAGAACTTGTCTTTTTTCGATCACCGAAAATTGACTGATTAGAAAAAAACCACCCCAAACATAAACATTCAGTTTTTTCGTCAGTCGACAACACAATAAACTATTGATAATCAATCTTGAATTTAATGGGGAGAATATTTGAGAATACGATTCCAATATTTCTCAATTGGAAAAATTATAATTTTTTTATAGACCAGAAGCTAAAAAAAAATACCACCGTTTGTAGTTGAAAAGTGAACTTCAGCCATTCTTATTTTGGTGTACTTCAAAAGAATTATAAAAGCTGAGCAGACAAATCAAATGACTTGTTTTTAATCCAAAAGCTCCTGGGACCATTTAGTACGGTCTCGATTTTGGTAAACCTAGATTGAGTCTTTCCCTGGTGAGAAAAGACAGTTACTCTTTTCTCCTGTTATCACATACTTATTATATAAATAAAAAACTGTTTAACTCCTAGAGCACTCCGGAGGATTTGTAGCCATGTCTTTGCTTCAAAACAAAACTAATTGACGTTTGTGTTTGGTAATTGATTGGTCAAGCATGATGATTTTGCGTCTTGGTGCCAATCTGAACAAACTTCCAGCAATTCAAGGTCACCTAAATATACTTTAGTTTAATATTGCATGAAATTTAACTTTAAAAAATCTTTTGCTTGAAAAAGTGTCTCTAAACTACCAAAAGACAACATATTTTTGATTTTCGACTAAATTATGGCCAACGTTTTTAATGTTTAGTTCAAAACAATTTATGACACCTTATTTGCAAGCTCTCGTTTTTCGAGAACTTTGAGTTAGTGAACTGCAACAGTTTTTGTGAGTAAACCGTTTCTTGGGAGATAAAACTTTTTATTAAGGACACTGCATGGAAGAGCAATAGGAAAGTGCCTAAGGTCGGTGGTTCGAGACTCGCCATGCTCGTTGCTTGCGAAGGTGAATAGCTTGTATGTTGTTCTTTTCGCTGGTGGAGATCGATAGTTTTAATCATCACGAAAGCGTTTCACATATGAAATCAGGAAGGTCGAAACTAGAGTTTTTCTTTCCGTACTACTGTTAACTAATGGTAGCTACTCGATCCATCTCTTATTCACATCTTTTCAAACCATACCGTCTCCTCTCCTGAAACACTACTCGCCTGGGACATAAGACATCCAAAACTGCCAAATATTTATATTCAGACTAGCGTTAAATGAACACACATTATGTGCACCAACTAAACTATTCTTGCTTTCTTATAATGCGTAGTCTTGAATGGTAAGAGCTGAAAGAATTCCCGAGGAAGCAAGTTGTTCCAAGCCATATGCCGCAAGAAAAAAATGGAATTGCCACTGTTTGAGCTGAAAAAAAACAGAACAAAATTAACTAAAGAAAAAATTATACACTTATAGCAGCTTCTATGCTTTGAAAAATCTTGATTTTATTGCAGCAGCTTTAGTTTTACAATAAAAATTTCATTTCTACCGCAGTTATACTGTTTTTATTAAAAAGCCTGAATTCGCGTAAAGGATCACGAAATAGAAACGTGGAAAAAGAAATAGGTAGAGAGTTTGGATTCGATATGAGTTCGGAGTCGCCTAAGCCGCTGCCGAGAAGCCGAAATCCGTCGTCAGCAACGAACAGAAGACAACCCGAGCTGAACGGATCAAGCGCTGAGCTACTCGGAAACGCCGAACGACTTCTGGCGAAGCTGAACAAAACCCCCTCGTATGAATACCGCGAGCAGAAACAGCAACTCGGAGCTCTGATCAAATTGTTAAGAGACCCTTTGTTCCAGGAAGTGTATAAAGCAAATTTAGAAGTTGAAGAAAAGCTTGCAAAAGGTAAATTATGGCCATTTTCTCAAACTTCGCGCTTTTTAAATTATTTTTTATAATCCAAACAAACTGAATTTGTTGTCCCGGTCATTGAAAATGGGGAGGAACTTTGTATTCGATTGTCTTTTAGTTCTTTCTTCTTTTTTTGTTTTCTATGCAAAATAAGGTAGCACAAGTAATCATCGGAATGGGTCGAGTGATATATTATATTAATACCCTTTCAATCGTGATTTGAAGGACATTTAAAAAATTTCAAAAAGTTGTCCCAGTGTCAATAAAAACAGCTCTGTTGAGATTTATCTGATTTCAAGCCAGTATTACCAATCGTGTAACGTTCGTTATATGAAAAATTGACATTTAAGCTCGGAAAACTTAATTTTTTTAAACAAGAAACTTCATTTTAAACTTCTTTTCAATTTTTTTTTCCAAATACATTTTCTAGTCTGTTTTTCATTATTTGCAGCCATTGTTCACGAGTATGCCTAACTGGCGAACTTTCTACGCGATTGTGTAGTTCTCTCATCGCACCATGGACAAAAAATGACTCCAAAAGTGGAAAAAAGAAAACTTTTTTGTAAGTTTTTCATGTGAATATGGTCGGAACGTTCTGTGCTGCTTGCACATTCACCGGCTATCCTAAAATTTTTTCTGACCATTCGAAAGTTTAATTACCTTTTAATATACAAACACTGCTAGAATTCCATGAATCAATGCGCGCAAAAACTGAAAGTTCGGTGCTTTTTCAAAGTTTTCCAATCTTGTTTAGATCTGAACAAGTTAAACGGAACTTCAAGTCTTGAAATCCAGGAGGACATAATTGGCATCCAATCAACATCTCAGAAGACTCTCGAATCATCGCCTAACTCTCTGTTCGGCCTAGAAAGCGAAGTTGATAATGAGCGAGGTTTCGTAAAATCCGAAGAATCAATCGAAGACTTTGTCGAAAGAGTCAAAGGGCCGAATCAAATTCACCGAGCTACGTTCTACCGAGATCCAGGGGCCTCGTTGGGATTCAGCGTGAACAAAGTTTTGCTCAATGAACACGAATACAAAATGATTGTGAATGATATAAATTCAGATGGTGTTGCTTTTAAAGAGGGTTTGAGAACTGGTGATCAAATCTTAGTAGTCAATAAAGTCATGTTAAGAAGCTCCGAAGAGCACGAGGAAGCGTTGGATATTTTAAAATCGACAGGAAGAATTGAAATTATTTTAGCGCAAAATATCCAAAAGATGACGAGAATTCAAACCCAAAGACAACTGCACAGAGTTCTGCTTCAAAACGACGTAAACAGTGGACTGGGATTCGGAATCATTTCGGATGAGGGAAAAATACTAATCGAAAGAATCGTTCCAAATACCCCAGCTGCTATGGCAAATAATTTGAAAATCGGCGATGAACTTGTCGAAATTTGTGGTAAAAACGTTCGCCAAATGCGAATCGAAGACGTTTTCAGAGATCTGGAAGCTTTTAAAATGAACCAAGTCGAACTTGGCATTCAGCGAGATGTCCGTCTAGACGAAAATTTTTATGTCGACGGTGAGACTTATGATGTAACCATTGAAACAAATGAAAAGGGAATGGGATTATCGGTCAATAGTCCTTTGGACAAAAACTCGACTCTCGGAGTCACGATTAAATCAGTCGTGGAAGATTCGCCGGCCGAGAGACTAAGCATGATTCGCGTTGGTGATCGGATTGTTGCCGTAAATGGCGAATCTATTTTTGGCAAAACAGCAGAGGCTTCCATGAACAAACTGAGACACGCGGGAAAAATTGTCCACTTGACCTTGATGCGCTATCATCGTGAAATAAACAATGAAACGCTAAGACCGGAAGCTTCAAAAGGAAAGACGAATCAGGACGTTGAAAAAGTTTGTCGTAAGTGGGAGCAAAAATTAGGACCCGATTTCGAGATTGTGGCTGGATCAGTGACAAAAGCGGACCCAACAGGAGGCTGGGGGTTCAGTCTTGAAGGCCTTGAAATTGAAGAACCCAGCGGAGAAATCATCAACCAGCATTTCTTGAAAGTTATTGCTGAGTTTGGACCGGTAGGAAAATCTGGCGTGATAAAAGAAGGCGACGAGCTGCTTGAAATTGTGGAACCCGAGAAAAGCCGCGTTGTAAGAAGTTTAAACCACGCCGAGGCTGTTAAGATGCTATCATCTATGCCCCCAAGCGTTCATTTTGTAGTCGGACGGAAAACCATCCCAAACAACGACTTGCTATTGGAAATTGAAGAAGAAAATGATTTGTTGCCGGTAAACGATTCGCTGAATGAAGGCGCTTTTGTTCTGTCTGAAGATCAAGTGTTGGTCGAGTCACGTGAGTCTGTTTTTGCGTCGACTAAAAATGAATTCGATGATGATGAAGATCCTAAACCAGTTCTGTGTGATCTAAAATGGTCGTGGGAAGTGAAGGAAGCATACATTGCAAAGCAGCCATTTGATGACCTTGGACTTAGTATTACTAACTACGAGAGGAAACATATCATAATCGATGAAATCACGCCAGGAGGTGCTGCGTCGAAGACACCTGAGTTAGGTCTCTATGACAAATTAATCTCAGTTCAAGGTAAAAGCATTGTCGGGAGATCTTTACCAGAAGTCATTGAAATGATAGAAGACAGTTCAACAGGACCTCTTATGATCGGTGTTCGAAAGTTGGAACCAAACTTGAGAAGCGAAAGTAACTTATCAAGTGAAGCGAAAAGGACTAGGTCCAATTCACCCGAAGCAGTTTCAACGTCTTATGAGTCCGACAACCCGACCCCGCCTCCTCCATTGACCTTAAAACATGAAGAGCCCGAAATTGTCATGCAAGCTCAAACTACCAGTTTTTCAGCTCCTAGAAACAATACCACGCCCTGGAAAAAAGATGAAAAATTAAATGACTCGGTTAAAGAACGGTCGCCTAATGTTGAAGATCTTGGTAAAGTGAATTATGCAAACTCACGAGAAAGTCAATCACCAGGTTCATCAAACGATGAAAATCAAATCATTTTGCCGAAGTCTCTTGAGCAGAAAATAGCTATATCGAAAATGAAGGTCGGAGTCATCGGTCTGTCGGTCGGGAAAGAGCCTAGAGGAAATGGAGTCCTTGTCAAATCGGCATCACCGGGCGGGGCCGCAAGCCGAGATGGCCGAATCGACGTTGGAGATATTATTCGGGCCATAAATGACGTCACAATTTGGGGAATGGACATAAATGATGTTCGGAGTTTACTTCGCGAACTCGGCCGAAAAGAAGACGACGTATTTGTTACGTATATAGCACGAGAAGACGCGAGTTACTACTGGACACATGAAAAGGTTCCAGAAGAGTTGACCGTCAAAATGTGCCTCTATTTCGAAGGATTGGATTCGGATGCAAGTTTAGCACGTTCAAACTCTTCAATGTTGGTCTCGAAAGTTAAGCGAAACGCGAGCTCGTTTATGACACCTTCGGCCGACTCAATTCTAGAAGACGAGGCTTCTCCGGTCAACTCAAGGCCAATCTACAGCGAGAGCAACCCTTTCAAAGATCAGGACAAAGTGAAATCAAAAGCGCCATCATTTTCTGCTCCTCGAGATGACAGCGGAATTGCGGTTATTGACGAAGCGCCAGATCATGAATCGTTCATATTCGGACCAAAACGACTAGTTGAGGTCCGAAGAAAAGACGGAGAGCCTTTAGGTTTAAGTATATTGGGCCATGAAATGGGCATTTTCATCAAAGATGTGAATACGGGGAGCCCGGCAGCGGGACAGTGGGAGTCACGTGGTACAGATGAGGTTCTGAACCCTGGTGATCGACTAATTTCAGTGAATGGGCAGAGTTTGGTGGGAACAAGTCAACAGGATGCGGTTTTGGTTATCAAAGGGGCGAGATCCCCTCTGATGTTTATTGTACAATCATGCACGGTGAAAGGGAGCGAAAATGAAACACTGTTTTCATCCATTAACTGAATCAACGAAAGATTTCAGATAACATAACCTTTGGGCTTAGGTTCATAAATGGCGCAGATAAATTTATTTTATAAATCATTTTGCAGAATTGTATCGGTTTCTGTCTTTATTATAAAAAAAATATGTTATCGCTCGGAGCTCCCTATTTAATTCAAAAAAAATCCAGTAGTTGGTATAAAAAGAATCTAACAAAGTGAAATCAAAACAAAGCTACACGAGACTTATTTCAAATCAAACGGCAGTCAAAGCAGTCAGTACTTCACCCTGGTATGAGCAATTTTGTTAATATACGAGTGCGATGGTTACTTTTGCAGTTTGATCAAAAGTTGTACTTAGTAACAATTTTTTAAATGACAAAAATTAATAATTAAAAACTTATGACCGAATTCTACACCTTATTTGATGCCATATTCACTAGTAACTGGAAATCTAGCATTTTTCTGCCAAAAACCAATAAGTTTCAAAACTTACATTAGTAATTCATTATGATTCTCATGATTCATCAAAAAAATCATGAAATCAAGGTTATACATACAATCAGGGTCGGGTATGGGATTTTCTCGAGGGAGGATTTTGAAAAACAAATTTTTCGAAATTTTTGTCGAGGTTTTTTTAAGTCGACCAAACTGATTTTCCGAGCACTCCCAGAACGCACTATAAAGATCCTTTTTTGACGTAGGCAATTTTTAAAAAAAACAGGTCAAATAAGCCATTTTTGGGTGGTTTTTGGAAAATTTTGATTTAAAAAAATGCGTTTTTTCGGCGTGCGCTCCCCTTCAAAATGTGTGTATATTGGCGCCCAAGGCGCCTTTAAAAACTTTTAGGGTTGCTCGGCCTAAATGGATATCATAAAATAACACTAAAGGGAGACTTTTTGGTTAGTGAGGGGGTCGAATACTTGAAGGAAAAGCGCCCTCCCGCCTCCCCCCCCCTAAATCCGCCCCTGACCCATGAATATGCGTGGAACTTGAATTTGCGTGGAAAAAAATCAAAAAACAATTAAAACACACCCGAGTACAAAGTTTCTGCCCATTTCAACTGCGGAACAATAGGTCTTCTAAAGTCCTTGTGTATGTGATCCAAAACGATAGCTGAAACTTAAATTCTATAAGAAATTAGTCTAAACTGGTTCTGAGTTGCCTGCAAGGCAATCAGTTGCTCTCATTTTTCAGACTATTGAAGAAAACAATGAAAGATTCATTGTCGGCTGTTTTTTTTTTCAGATCAAAAAACACAGAATTACCGATCGATTGCTATGAAAAATTCTAGATCTTTCCAATTTATTACAAGCGGAAAAAAGATGCAAAAAACTAAAAAAAAGAATATTTCTAATAAGTTTGTGTAATGTTTTAAGTGAATATAAGTAAAGAGATTGTTATGAAGATAATGCTTTGAGAAATTGAAGAATAATTGAAGCTTCAACCAGTAGTTATCAATTTCAAAAACGTGTAAAACAACCTAGGGTAAGTTTCTTTACTGTCATAAAATTATGTAAATGAGTGTTTAAATTATTTGGAAAAGCAAAGTATTCAGACCATTTTTTCTTTCACAACAAAAACTAAGCTTTGACATGATATATTATTTCGTGAGGCAACAATTTGTAACAAGCGACAATTCGGAGCAAGCGACAATTTCTAACAGTAGGTAGATGAAGTGATAAATACTGATTCACGCGCAGTATTCCTCTCGTCCCGGATGCAAGCGCAGCGGAGCAAGCGTATTCTAATTGCCAGTGCCTTGTTACGAATTGTCGCCTGTTACGAATTGTCGCCCTACCTTATTATTTGACATCATCTGACGTAAATTTGAGGAGTATTATTGCTTAAAAACACATACTTGAATCCATTAGTTTGCCACTCCATGCCTTCGATGGCTGGTCAAAGAAAGTTTTTGACGGCTTTTTTAACAAAAATTAATTAAACTTCAACTTTTTTTCCGTAAGCTTAAAGGTTTATAAAATCCGAAATCCCCTTTGCAACTTTTTGTTTTTTTGCCTGCTTTTTTGCGTATAGTTTCTAGTTTGAAATGCTGTTATTTCAGGAGGCGGACTTGGCTGTTGCGCCTCTGACCATTAACTACCAGAGACAGGACGACATAGACTTTTCCACACCCTACATGAACTTGGGTATCTCCATTCTGTTCAGACGGAGGGAAGACAGGACCCCCTCCATCTTCTCCTTCCTCATGCCACTACACATGAACATATGGATGTACCTCATTGTAGCATACATAGGTCAGTATTCAATATTTTGGACTTGGGGTCATTTTGGACTCTCGTTTTGGACTTTTACTGAGATTGAGTGTTGCTGGATGATCCAGTTAATATAGATGCATATACTTTGACACAATTTAGATTAATAGCCAGAGACATCTGAATGCGGACAAGAATGTCTCTTGACGATCTCTGGTTTTAAATAGGACACCCCGCTTTTTCAAGCATTCAATCCCATGATCACTCAAAGGTTGTACTAGAGAACCTTTGGTACTATTTAACCACAATCATGCTCAACCGATCGATCATCAAAACTTTGAATCGGCGCCTTCCGTTTACAAAACTTACCAAAATAGATTGTTTTGGAAAACGTCCTTATATTGTTTTGGAACACTATGTACTATATGTGCCAATATTTACTAATTTCGACTTGGGCAAGGAGCGCCGAAAAAATTGCCTAAAACGCCCTTTTCTACCTGCTTTCTTTTAAAGTGATTCGGCAGAGCTCGGAAAACGAACTTTGCCGACCTTAAAAGTCGACCTATTTGGAAGACCAAAAAATCCTAGATCCGCTTCTGCACCTACCTACAAAACCTTTTCTATAATTAAATCGAATGCTCGCTCGCAGCGCTTCCAAATACAACTACAAATATTTAAGAAAAACTATTGGGAGGAGCAGCGAACTAAAGGGGATGACGTCCCCCTCCCCTCCCTCCTCAGTCTAAACCCCTAACCACTCAAAAGGTCCCCTTTTGGTACTATTCAAAATTGTCTATTTTTGGAAAACAAATTCTTAAACAATTCTACCGGTGCCTTGAGCGCCGATATACTTTAATTTCAGGAGAAAAGAGGAGTGGGGGCAATTTTTTTTGTTCGGCCAAAACTTCCAAAACGAGCGCTAAAAGATCACTCTTGTTTTTTTAGAAGTTCACCGGCGACCGTGCTGTCCATATGAATGACGTTTTATCTTTTTTTATAAGATATAATTTCTGGTCTCACAGATATGATTTTGCGAAAAAAATGCTAATGTAATTTTTGAAGAAATATGTTAGCTCAAAAACGTCGAAAAAAGTTTTTGTGTAACTATCAGGTAGACTACCCAAAATGATAATCTTTTTGGACCCCTGTTCGATTCGTCTGCAGAATCTGCGCTTTTTGAATTACAACACAACTAATTGCTTTATTTAGCCATGAGTTTCGTGCTGTTCGTGTTGTCCCGCTTCACACCCCTGGAGAGGGAGCTGCCGGATGACCCCACCGTGCCCAAACTGACCCTGTCCAATTCCTTCTGGTTCTCAGCAGGAGCCATGATGCAGCAGGGCTCAGAGATAGTGCCCATGGCCACTTCCACCAGAATCGTAGCCGGTGAGTTGAAATAGTCAAGGCTGACTCAAAATTATATCCAGAAAATCTCTTTTTATCTTTTTTTTCAAAAAATCCATTAATTTTACCTTTCCTGAAAAATAGATGACAACCAATAAAAGATGGTCTCTTTTTTACCCAATTGGACACCTTTCGTGGTAAATATTGACCAATCTGATCTGTTCTTCCATGCAACAATAACTCTCTTTGAATATTAAAATTCAAAAATGACTCAACAATTTATTCGAAAATTGGAATCACATGGAACACTCTTGGCTCATCTAAAATGTCTACGTTTTTTCCTACCTATCTCTAAGTTTCACTAACTATTCTGTCTCTCTCTTTCCTCTCTGCGCCTCCCATCTGCAGTTGGTTGGTACGTGTTCACACTCATCATCTTCTGCTCATACACTGCCAACTTAGCCGCATTCCTCACTGTGACCAGAATGGAAACCCCCATTCAGGATGTGGAAGACTTAGCCCAGCAGAGCCTCATCAAATACGGCACTCTGTCATCATCGTCTTCTTACGCATTCTTCCAGGTGAACATTAAAATAGTCAACAGTGATTTTGCATGCGAGTATGCTTCAGACTTTACTTGATTCTGGTTGAAAAAAAGTTGTCTATAAAGAAAATTGTCAGTTGCAAATCTAAAAGTTGTGCTGCTGTTTCACGTGTCTGTTTCTTTTTATTTCTTTTCTACTAACTTTTGATTCTAAACATTTCATTTATGAGTTTGAAATTTCGAGATTTTTTATTTGTTTTTTCTTCCTTTTGCTCCAATTCTTGCATTTATGAGATGAGAAAGCATTTCAAAAACGGATCAAATTTTAATTGTTCGACCATTGAAAGTGGGGAGGAACTTTGTATTCGGGTGTGTTTTAATTTTTTTCTTTTTTTCCGACGCAAAATCAGTAACCACAAATAATCATTGGTCTGGATTGAATGATATATCATGTTAAGCCCTCTCAGTCGTGATTCGAACGACATTTCAAAACTTCAAAAAAGTTTTCCCAGTGTCGAGAAAAACCGGCTTGGAATTTTTTGTTTTTCCTTTAATTACGAGCGAGTGAGCAGGCTTACATTAGCTTATTTATGCTTAATTTAAGCCTTGGAAATTAAGTTTTAATGAAGTTAGTTTTTGGAGTTTTTAGCTTCATCTTAGGAATCAAAAACTTCAAAAATTTGGGGAAAAAATTTGAAAAACTTTTTTTTTAAAATTAATTGTTTCAATTTTTTTCGTTTTTCTTGTTATTTGTCTTCAAAAATTATGTTGTAATTTTTTAAGACTGGTCGGAACATTCTGTGTTACTTGCACAGTAACCGGCTATCCTTGTTTTTTTTATTTTTTGGATGTAAAAAACTTTTTTCGTTCGCAATTTTAGTTATATGCACAAGGCTGGTCGTATCAGGACAAACTTTGAATGGCTTGATTGCCCTTTGAGGGTGTGACTAAACTTTTGAAAGAAGAAAAGTAAAACTCGACATGACTGCCCATATCAATGCGAAGCCCTGAATGCTTCAACTGCCAATTATGACTTCTTAGAACTAATTGATAAAAATTTCGTTCACATCTTGAATGCAGAAATGTCGAGTACACGTAGTAGTAGCGCTAGTAGCAAACCGTCTAGTAGCGCTATCGAGTCCGAATAGTTTGCCTCATGGCAATTAGAAACGATATCTGATCTGGATTAAATCGCCGCTCACAAGTTACAACTACGCCGAGTTAGCATCCTTTCGTCATCATGAGAGATCTCACTCCCATTTTTTGTTGGGAAAAAATCATTATGTCTTCTTATTTGTTTTTTGATTTTGAAGAAAGGATGGCAGCGTCTGGCAATATATTTTTATAATTAATTTTTTTTTTAAATTAGAAAATCATGTCATTGATCCTAAAGGTCAGTTTGGACATATTAAGGGCTTAGCTCTGGTACGAGAAGTTTTGTTTACCTTTGAAATTGTTGAAAGCTGAAAATGTTTCTAGCTTTTTTGTTGCTTGGCATGAATAGTTGTGCATGGTATGGAAGTCCTTCGATATGCTGAAAAGAGAGTTTGTTAAAAAAACTTTTTGACGCGTGAAATGAAAAGTTTTTAAAAAAATTTAGCGTCACTGTTAGGATAACGAAGTCCCAAATTCAATGCTGGCAACAGGAAATTTCATTTGATTTTGTTTGTTAAATGTTGTGTGTACCTGAATATTTTCTGTAACACATCCAAAAAATAATCTTTTTGTTTTTGAAAATTGGATCATACATCTCATCTTGTATCTGACTGTAGGAAAATAATTAAAAGATTAGAAAAAAACTGTGGCTCAGTTATTAATTTGGTAAATTTGATCAGTATAACAGAAAAGACGAGTCACTTACATTCGTTTAGCTGCATGGATGTTCCACAGTTTTTGTGTGTGCATGTACTTCCTCTGCAAACTCATCAGCATGCGAACTCTTATCTCTTACCTTGTGCTCACATCCAATATGGGATTGGACGAAGACGATTGGTGGAGTTTTCTGTCCAATTACAACTTACAGTTTGGCTCACTTCAAGCGGGAACGACTCAAGACTATCTTGAAAACGTATGAGTTGTTTTAAAGGAGATATTTTAATGGTAGAAGAACCGGATATGCAAAAACTTTCAACCGCAATCAATATTTTCTAAACATTTCAAACTGCTGGATTTTCAGAGGTGGCCAGTCAATAAACAGAATGGTCTAAGAGCAGAATGTGCCGGCCGATAGCAGAAAAACAGGAGAATATCAATTTTTATAAGCTAGTCGGTAAATTAAGTAAGAGAATTGTCAATATTACCAAAGAAACAAATATATTTTATGTTATGCATAATTTGATGGATTCGATCGGGATTGTTTAAATTGACAAAAAACTTGATGAAGTTAATCAATTCATGAATAACGTATTCATTTTTGGTATTATTGAAATTTCTAACATTTGTTTATTATAAATTAGCCCGTATAAATAAAAAAAAGTAGATATTTTTTAGTTTTTCTGCTCTTGGACCCATTTTGCTCTTAGGCCATTCAGCCCAATTTCGAATGCTCAATTATGAGTGGCTAAATTACATTTTGAGGTTGCATAACAATATTTAGACTGTGGTTATTCAGGAGTTTCAAAACGCGAAAACAGTCGCGTTTGGTACCAAAATAAAAAACCAGTCACTTTTGAACCAAAATGAAAATCCAGTCATACTTGTATCGAAAAGAAAAATCAGTTTTTTGTACCAAAACTTAAAAAAATAGTTGCCATTTTGATACAGTTTTGATTATTCAAAACATAAATAATCAGTCCCAAATTAAAATATCGACTAAAAATTTAAGGGTTAACTTCACATTCTTCCACACAAGTCGGCCATTGTATAACAATAATTTTTTATTTAAAAGTTGCCAATTGTCAACGAATTTTGACAGCTTTGACGCGTTTAATAAACCGTCTCCTTTTTCTAGTCTGTTTTGGAGCAGGCACTCCCTTTATTATAAGATCCTATTGATTCTCTACAACTTTTTCCTGTTGCTTCAAATACCGAAAGGCCAGCCACAATTTTGGACAATGAAGTTGAATTTTTCCATTCCAAATACTATTCCACACCTCGCAAAAGTTGTTTGTCCGGAGACATGCCGGCCTGTTTTATACCCTCCACATTTTAGGAGGGAAAATTTGTTTCCATGTTTTGTGGAATTCTCTGAAAATCTTTGCATCTCCGAGTTTTGAGCAATTTTTTGAACTACCTCAGTCTCACTCAAAAGTTTAACAAAGAGGGGTGCTTTGATCTTCAGGTAGATAAGCAGAATTATCTTCTCAAAGTTTTTTAAGCCTGGGTCTTGACAAAAGGATTTTCGGACACTAATTTCCAATAAAGTTCTGAAAATTGTCAGAGTGAATTAAAAATATCACCCGAATTTCTGTTTTCGGGAAATCCGATTCGACGGCCGAAATAATGCCTCGTTCATACCCTGTCACAAAATCTGGGGGACCCTTTTATGACCAGCCAATCGCTTGATTTTTTGCCGATTATTTGAAAAAAAATTTCGGTATAGACAGGCTCGTTTTCCACTAATGAGTCCGAAAACTAGCGGCAAACGTCGATCTTCATATATCCCGAACAATACACAGAGCTGCTCGTAAGGCGGTGGTCTGGACATGAAAGTTCCCTCGCCTCCAATTTAAGCATGGTAACATGAAAGTAAAGTTACTATAACTTTATGGTAACTCAAGCATCAATAACATGCGCTAAAAATAAACGCTTTGTGTTTGACGTGAATCGCGATTTTCCAGTTCATGTTGTGAGATAGGAGGAACAATTTTTTTTCGCGCTCTGTAGAGGCAGGATTTAAGAGTTTTGTACTCTACAGTTGTAATTGACTCCAATACGTTTTAAACATGTTTGTTGGGTCTTTTTTGTCAAATACTTCACCACTTTCTGTCAAATACCTTCCATCGATATTTCATATCTCTCGTCATTGTCTGTGTGCGTTCCCGGATAATTCTCAATTTTTTTGAAATCGACTGGTAAAACCATTTTCACTTCGCTTTTTGTCGAACGAAACAAAAAACAACGTATATAAACAGCTTTGGAACTTATTGAGTGGGTTAACCAACAAAAATTCTCAAAAATACAAAGTTTTCCCATTCGCCAAATATATTAAATTTAAGTGATTTTACATATTATTTTAGCTAATATCAATAGTTGACAAGGGAACTTTTTACATAAACTCGATTTACTTTGATTTTTATGTTTTCATTCGACCGGCGATTTACCACTGAAACTAAATTTTAACTGTTGAACCGGCCAAATTCAAATTATTACGTAATTTGCATGAATTTATGAAAGTATTAAATAACTTTTCATCATATTTCATCTTTAATGGTTTTTTTCCCTAGACTTCTATGTAATTCTTAAGTTATCTTGATGTAATCTGTCGGTGTAAATTTCAGGTCTTTGCAAAGTTCGAACCCACGGCCTTATGATTTTCGATCACATATATTACCTTTCGGCTATATTTGGTTGAAAAATTCACATTTCGCGTTATCTTTTTTTGTTACATATCGGACCGTTTATTCATTTTTGTACAAACGGGACTGATTTTTTTTTGGTACAAATGACCGTTGGTACAAATTGGACTTCACCATTTAGACAACCGCGTATTCCTGCTCGTCCGTAAGCAGACAAACGCTTTATTAACCAACAGAATCGAGAAAAGGAAGACATTTTTTGTTTCGTAACTTTTTTTCTCATCTCGATTCTGAATGGTTAGTATAGCATTTGACTGATTACAGACGAGTGTGAATACGCGGATGTCTAAATACAGACCGCACTGCACATTTTGGGCATCTTTTGGGCAAGTAAAATTGATGTTTATATCTGGTAAGGGAAATGGTAGAACAGCCCATCTTTTTCCCACAGTTCAGATTTAGGCACGATTAAATCTCCAAGGATAAAACCTTGGAATGAAAATTTTCACAAATGAAATTCTGACAACTTATTTTAATCGATGGATGAATTTATCTTACAATGAGCTTTATTTGTTCATGAAGCGTTTTTGGGCTTATTGCAGCAACCATGCTTGTCTGTGATCCCAATGAGCGTTTATTTTGAAACAAGACTGATTAGTGCTATGAACGTTCCAGTTCCTTTTGACGTATCTGAATTTTGTGATTAAATAATGACAAAATTAAAAAAAGTGTGTTTTTTTAATTTTCCCCACTCGCTATTTCAAATATTAAGTGATGTTTTTCATTAATGTACGTTTAATTCGAACCAATTAGCTAGCCTTGGTTCAGTTTTAATGGTTTCTGAGCTGTTATAAGTTTCCGCTTAAACTACAGCTACGCGTTAAATATTTGAGTTTTTGAATAATGCATGAAAAATCTTACTTTTAGAAAAAAAGTGCACAAAAATTATTGGTGTGAAAAGCAAAAAATCAAAGTTAGACGGTGCATGTCCGCAAGTTTGTTCCTTATATATGATTTTGGGAGGAATTTTAAACGGAAAAGCCGAGAAATGTTTGGCCCTTTTCACAGAATACTTTTAAACAAAAAATAATCTGTTTCCATTTCATAGCAGGTTTTTCACCCATTTCGACGAACCCACGGATACTTCTGCCCAAAAAAATGAGCTGAAACTCGTTCCAGGCTTGGCTGAATTTGTGGATTTGTTGTTTTTGAGAGCATTTGTTATTAATGATAAGATGTCAAGGACAGGGGGCCAATTGACTGATCAATGACGTCATGAAAATTACTCGGAATGTTCTAGAACTCACAGCTGCCGACATACGTGAGAATGTTCCAGTTCATGGAGCGCCACAGCCCCTACTCCTACGTCACCTCCACCCAACAAGGCATTGAGAGGGTCCAACAGGAGGACTACGCATTCTTCATGGAGAGCACAATGATAGAATACCAGGTGTCCCAGTTGTGCAATCTGACTCAAGTGGGAAGCCCACTGGACTCCAAATTCTACGGAATCGGACTCAGAAAAGGTCACTTCATTCAGTAGCGTGCAGAGGGGAGTGGGCATGGGGCGGGGAGGGGGAGACCTTTTTCTCCTCCTCAATTCTAGTTACCAAAGGGTCCCCCTTTTTACAAAGGGTCCCCCTTTTTCCAAAGGGTCCCCCTTTTTCCAAAGGGTCCCCCTTTTTCCAAAGGGTCCCCCTTTGGTATAATTTTACGACGTTCATTTATGGCTGACCAACTTTAAATTTTTTCTAGGGCGCCTTTGGCGCCAATACAACTAATTTTGAGGGGAGAGCGCGCGCCGAAAATGCAGTTTTTTTGTCAAAATTTTCCAAAAAGTGCCTATAAACGCCTTTTTCGGCCTGTTTTTTTAGAAAGTTTGACAAAACAGGGCTCTTATAGTTTTTTTTCGAGAAAATCAAATTGGTCGACCTAAAGCAAAAAAAAGTCCGCAAATTTTTCAAAATTTTTCGAAATCCGCCCCCCCCCCCCAGAAAGTTTTCTGCGCACGCCACTGTTTCTTATTTGATATACATTGTTGAATTACAGATCTATAATTGTTCTTTTTTGTTTTATAGTCAGCAATTATTTAAGTTCAAAGTACAAAACACTCAAACTCTCAAATCAACACCGTTTATTAATTTTTCTTCTTTGTTCTTTCTTCTTTATCATACATAATCACCCTGAAATGTGTCTCTTAGGTTCGCCCTACACGCCCTATGTGAGCAAGGCCATTCTCCAGTTGCAAGACGAGGGGGTGCTGGTGAAGCTGAAGAAGAAGTGGTGGGAGGAGAGGAGCAGATGCAGCTCCGAGAGCGCCGGGGGAGGTGAGTCATCATACACCACGTTATACGCGTAGTCATCATCCCTATCAAGACATAATTCCAAGATCATTAGGACGGTGGCAGCGGGAATGCAATAACTTGGTTCTAAACTGAAACTTTCATCCAATCAGATTTGACTGTTTCACGCGAGCCGCTCAGCCTTTGAATCCAAATTAAATGAAAAGGAACTCTGCAGAGGGGGCTCTTTTTCAGGGGCGAGCAGGGCGCAGAAAAGATTTAGAGCAAAATGTTCAGAGATAACGAGTAACTTTTAATTAATTATACTAAAATTTTAGTGCTATTTATGTCGCTATATGTGTATGAAAGTTTTGGAACAATATAGATCAACTATATTGGAACAATATAGATCAGCTATTCTAAAAAAGGAAGGCAAACTTCACTATCGATCAGCGACAGTGTAAATTTAACCAGAAACGTGATTGATTTTCATTTCGAAAAGGGAATTAAAATATCAGATTTACATATATAAAAATTATACCTATTTATCCGGTCTTCTCGAATTGGGTTAATTTTATGAAAATAGTGTCAGTCATCTCTACTTTTTTTCCGGGAAAACCGAATGTTTAAATTTTGTCAAAACAAAATTCATTATTTTTTTATGTTTACTTGAGTTCATTGCCCGTTTTTCAATTGTCTGTTGGCTATGTTTTTCAAAAGAGAGGGCAGCAATTTTCGCGTTCTACAAAATTTGGTTACAAATTTTGGTCAAATATTCAATAGACAAAAGTATTTTGACGAAGAATGCGGGGATCTACTAGAGAATCTCCACCTTTGTAAATATAAACAGTAAACTCGCACTAAAGCGTTGTATGTAAATTAAAATCTTTTATACTGCATTTTAATTTTTATCAGCTGAAAATTTGACTGATGCAAAATGATTGAAATCAACAACTTTTCCACCTGGCTGCAGTTTTGGGCCAGTTAGTGTTAATAATGATAATATCAGTTTTGGATTAATCACCTGTTTGGATTAATCACACATGATAATTATTTGGGATAGTTATCAATTTTTTTTACCAGTTTAAGACGTAGCGGCAAATCTTCCGTCTAAGAAATCCCTCGAAAAATCTTTAAGGCACTAACTGATTCAAATTTTGCGTTAATAGTTGCAAAGGTGTCTTTATATTATTTAGTTTGCATGTGGGGTGCCAGAAGTTGTAAAGATGTTTTTTGTTGTTGGATGGGAGACCGAATGCTTGAAACTTATTTTGGCTTATTATCAGCCAATCAGAATTGAGTCTTCAAAAATCTCAGGGAAATCGCTGAGCAAATAAATCCAGGCCATTAGTGTTAACATTAAGAGATTAGATAATAAGCAGATGAATGAAAATAACGCCGGTTTGAAGGCGGATTGGAACAATTTTAATATTTCTAGGATACCGATTTGCGAAAAATGGAAAAAGAAAAAACTAAATTTATCATACCTGCACCTATTATATCTGCATCTAGTATATTTTTTATATTATCGTTTTCTGTTTATATTGACTTCGAGTTTGTGAGAAAGGCATTTAGCCAATAAGAACGGGTAGCGATATTGACTGATTGAAATTTTTCCAGCATTAGGCCCCTCCAATATGAGAACCCTCCCAAATTAATATTAAGTGATCAATATATTGGCTTCAAACTAAGCGTTCAATATATTGGCGCCAAATCTGACTTTAAAATTTTCAGGGTCGGTCATTTTAACCACAGGTTATGATAAGCTTTTCCATTTTTCTATTATCAAAATCTAACTTACTGAAAAAATCAAAACCATTTTTTTTGTGTGCAATGCTTGCTGTGATCGTAACATTCTGTAATTTGCGGTACTTGTAGTGGGACGGACAATCATGTTTTTTGTTTGGCTAGGTGAAGACGCGAGTGCTCTGAAGATGGATAGTATAGGGGGTATCTTCTATGTGCTGGTGGGCGGCACTGGCATAGGATTCATCGTGGCTATCATTGAGTTTGTGTGGAAGACACGGAAAAATGCAAAGGACAACAGGGTTAGTTCATCAATTTCTCATTAGCGCGGACTCATTTTTAGCTGTTTTATAATTTGGGAACCAATTTTTTTCAAAGTTTGAGTTGAATATTTAAAAAACAACATGCTCAGAAGATTTCATTGTAAAAAAAAAGAAACAAAAAATTGATCTAGAAAACCTTAACTAGCCTATAGTTTGGGAATAAAGGATTTTTGAATTTTTTTTTAAAAGGGTGAGTGAGAAAAGTTTATTTTCTATTTAAGACGAATGACAAGGAGACGGGTCTGGTCCAGAGAATGAACTTAATAGACAATTATGAGAGAGAAAAAAGGTTCAAGCCTCCCAATTAGAAAAAAAATATTAGCCGAATACTAAATCTCAATTTGTTACAACAGAGTCCTGTCTTAATTTCGTCCGATTTAAGTGCAAGCAAGTTGTGGACAATTAATCGTTTACGCCAAAATGCCTTCATTTTGTTTGTTTAGCTCGTTGCTAAGTTCATTGTCTAGATCGGACCCCCGTCTCTTTGTCATTCACCGTACTTACGTCGGCTTCAGAAACGTGAATTGATAAACCAACAAAAGATATTCTGGAATTTGGAAACGGGGAATCAAATTTGATTAGTCCAACTGAAAGTAATTTTTGTTTTAGACAACCTTTTGCAATGAAATGAAGACGTTCTTCAAGAGATCCTATCGCAGAGACGAGATGTTCTTCGGTTCAATGTCGAATCTCTTCGAGAAAGACTGCTCGGAGGACGACTCCAAACCAAGCGGAGCTCCATCCGACGACATCCGACTTCACGACTTGCAAGACCGAGCAAGCTCTCTCAGTTTGTATACGAACAGCAAAGCGTCGCCAGTCATAGGTGGAAACGCGATTGGGCGTGCCGCGTATCATCCTCCTCAGCAACCATTCCAAGTTCCAGGAGTCGGACAGATCGATCCAGTCCGCTTCGGCACTCTTCCGACTCACTCCTCGACGCATTCCATGATAGATAAAAACGACTCGTCACGACGCGGCGGTGTCAACTCGGCAAACTCGACCTTGAAGAGTTCGTTTAACTCCAGTTCGAATGGAGCTCCACGGTCGGGACTAAAGCTTCGATTTTCACCGACTGTTGATAAACAAGTAAGAATATAGTAATGCGCTGACCAACCCCCTCCCCTCCCCTCCCCCCTCCCCCCTCCCCCTCCCCCAACTGGACTGCATGGAGTATGTAACTCTTCAACGGTATTATTCATGGCAATGTGGTGCATAGTTGAATCGAAAAGAGCTCTAAATACAATTCGGCAATTTGGAGACTTTGACAGGGGGAACACCATAGCGGTTCTCCGTAAAGAGCCGAACATCTCGAGTGTTTTTCACTTTCCTCATGGATATAGAACGACTTAATAAAATAAGAGCTACGAAACTTCGTAGCTACGAAAGAAGACACAAAATTTTTGGATCTTGGGAACGGTAGTTTATTTTTAAGTAACTTTTTTGGTTAAAACACAGCTATAAAATGAGCACAAAGCTATAAAATGAGCAAAGTCACGGTGGAGAAAAAGGATCAATCAAACAATCACAAAAGCAATGCGGTGTGTTTCTACACATTTGCGCTTCAGGTGTATTGCCAAGAACATTCTTCGGACCAACTTAGTCTAAACCAATCCAGTAACAATTCCAGCAACCCGAATCCGCCAAACGGACCAATGAGCAACGGGCAGAACAGTCACGGATCCGCCGCCAGCTTGAAATCCGAGGCCGGAACCCAGACGAAGAACGTCCGCATCAAAACTGACACTGATGTTTGAGAAACCTTCTTATTGCGATACTCAAAGCCCTAACAATTAGTACAGGTTTGCAATTATGCTTGCTTGCGAATAATGAATGCTATAAACATGATATTGTTATGTAAAATTTCAAAATTGTATATCTGATTTCAATTTAAAATGAGTAATTAGTTTGAGTTCATATCTCAACTAGTTGTTTTCTCAAATGAGGATGAGCATGAGTTAGGACTGCTCTCGGAATTAAACAGACTTCGAGAGAAATCAGTCAACTTGACCTTCAAATGTTCTGAAATGCTTTGTTTTCTATTGAGGCCGTTCAAAGTAAAAATATTGAAAGATTTAAAACCAATTTCTTTATTTCCTTATAAGAAATCAAGGATTCAAGGCGTTTCCAAGGATTGCGTCAGTAACTCCCTAATTACAGACGGACATAATGTAAAAAATTAGCCTACTAAATTTAACGCTGAAGGAACAGGGAAAACTATTGAAAATTTGCAAAAAAAAACAAACAAGTTGTAGGACAGAGTTAGGTCACAGAGGCGTTATATGTCTTAAAAAAGTGTTCTGATTTTACACCCTCCCTTCGACGCGTGGGCGGTAAACGATGTTACTGGCCAAAAAAAGAAGTCTACAAATGTTTGCAATGATTTGAGGAGCGGAAAAATTAAGACCTGCCACTGCTGGGAGTATGGAGAGTATGCCTTCTGCCACATGCAAACTCCTATATTTTGAGGACAGTTGTACGCAGGGGCGGATCTAGGATTTTCTCGAGGGGAGGGCGGATTTTCCAAAAAAAATTCGAAAATTTTGACGACCTTTTTTTTAAGGTCGACCAAATTGATTTTCCGAGCTCTCCTAAAGCACTAAAAAGACGCTGTTTTTGCCAAATTTTCTGCGCCGTAGGCAAATTTTTGAAAAAACAGTCAAAAATCCGTTTTTGGGCACTTTTTGGAAAATTTTGACAAGAAAAATGCGTTTTTTTGGCGCGCGCTCCCCCTCAAAGTTAGTATATATTGGCGCCCAATGCGCTTTTAGAAAAATTTTAAGGTCGGTCGGCCAAAAATGGATTTCTTAAAAAGTACTAAAAGGGACCCATTTCAAGGAAGCGAAATGGAAATTTAAAAGACAAGCACAAAATTTTATGATCACCAGCTCTTATAATTGAGTAGTGCAGGTTTTAATAAGCAACCAGTCAAAAGCTCGTGGCTCAATTTTTTCTAAGGTGCACAATGATAAGAATTTGAAAGAGAAAGCGTTCAAATGAAGCTGTACAAATTGAGAGGAAAAAACCGCACCGGAAAAATAAAATAGCTGTGATCAAAAAATACAATCTTCGACTCTGATATCTCAAGCATTCATATGAAGAACTTACAATTTTTTTTTCTAAACGATTATTTATAAACTGACATACTAGTTGTTGCGATACTTGAACTCATGGATTCATGGATACAAAAGATAAAAACAAAAATTCTGATCAAACATAAATATACTTTTTTGATCAGAAAAAAAGCAGTTATTCTCAAGCAGTCCAGAAAGTTCTTTTTTTCGCGAGTAGTTCGGAACATTTGTTTGGCAATGAAACTGCCTTCTATCATCTACATAATTTGATAACTCTTCCAATGGGATCGAACGAAGCATGGAAGTTTCTACTGGTTCAGAAAACTTGGTTGGCTCACAAAATGCCTTCAGTCATTTACATATCTTAATACAGATTCCAGTGGTATTACGGGTTTGGGGGTCTGTTGCAGAGCATATTACGCCCAGAAGTGTTAACTGGGTTTTGAAAAAATTTTCAGCTAATTTTTGACCGAAAAAAAATAAGAAACTGGACAGTTTTTTGTAAAAAAAAAAGAAGTTTTGCCGACATCAAAAGCCGACAACTGGTTCTTATGTAAAGTTGTTTTCTGCCTGTTCTAAAACATGCCTTTTTGCTCCGTATAAAATTCGTTTAGCAAAATGCAAAATATTACTACTGTTTAAACACTGCATCAAGTTGAGTTACGTTCTCTTTTTTCTTTCGATTTGAGCTCAAAAATATTTCTACCTTACGGTTATCGTAAGGCCAAACTTTAAACTAGTTCACTCTAAAAAAAACTGAATTTTCCTTCCTGAAAAACTCATGATTATAGCAAATACTGCGTTCTGGATAAATTTTTGAATAATCAAGCTAAAAAAGTGTAGAGAATGGAACAGGCTAAAAGCAGGTTTTAGTACGCAACGAGTCAAAAACTAGTGGCTCAAATTTTTTTAAGGTACACAATCTAAAGGAATTGGCTAAATTAGAAGCTTTTGAAAAAAAATCAATAGTTCAAATGAAGTTCTACAAAGTGAAGGGAAAAACTCCAATGACATCAAACAAAGCAATGGGTTGTATTGTAGAGCAAGTTACCCCAGAAGCGTTAACTGGGTTTGAAAAAGATTTCAGATCTTATGCGGAAGTTCTTTGATCCAAAAAACCAAAGCTGGACAGCTTTAAGTACAAGGCAGAAGAAGATTGTTCGTCGACAAAAAAAACGATTATTGGGTCTTACAAAAAAGTGTTTTCTGCCTGTTCTAAAATTTGCCTCTTTCGCTCCGTAAAAAAATCAAAAGGTAACTTCTGCTTGAACCCTGCATCAAGTCGAGTTACGTTCTCTATTTTTTAAATAATTTTTTTGCCTGAAAGGTATTGTTTCTTACTGTACGGGTACGGCAAAGTTTTATACCAGCTTACTGTACATAAATTTAATTTTCCTTCCTAAAATTTTTCTGACTATAGCAAAACTGGATTCCAGAAAAAGAGGCGAATAATCAAGTTAAAATATATAGAGAATGAAAAAAGATAAAATTAAAAAAAAACTCTTAGTTAGAAAAATTTTCGATCACAGCTGCGTCGGAAAATATGAAGCACCTGTAACCGAGAAACAAAATCTTCTCGACTCTGATAGTTCAAATATTCATATTTTTTTTCAAATTTTTTTACTAAACGGTTATGATGCGATATTTGAACTTGGATACAAAAAAAGAAAACAGAAACTATGACCAAATATTTTGAGCAAACATGTTTTGTAGCTTACGGTTACCGTTGGGTCAAAAACGAAACCATTTTTTTCTAAAAACTTCACATTTTTCTTCTCAAAAAAATCTTGATTATGGCCAAAACTGCATTCGTGATGAGCTAATGAATAATGAAGCATCAAGCTAAAAAAAGATAAAGAATAGGAAAGAATAAAACTAGAAAAATGTTTAATTTTACGCTTCTGATGAAGTCCGGCTTTTGTATTTTTTTGTTTTTACTCTAAAGCGAAAAGTAAATTTAAAAAAATTGAAAAAATGTTCATTGTGATCACAAGCTCGTACAATTAAAAAGTGCAAGTTTTAGTACGCAACCAGTCAAAAACTAATGGCTCAAATTTATTAAAGGTACGAAGAGAAAGAGAAATGGCTAAATTAGAAGCTTTTGAAATACAAAGCGTTCAAATGAAGCTGTTCAATTTGCGGAGAAGAAATGAGCAACGTAATATAAAGCAGCTGTGATCGAAAAACAAAATTTTCAAATCTGATAACTCAAGTAATCATATGCAGAACTTGAAAAAAAAAGAAAACTTTTTGTAAACGGTTATCTAAAAACTGACAGCCTGGCTGTTGCAATACTTGAACTCATGGGTTCATGAATATAAAAGAATGAATCAAAACATTCTGATCAAACATAGTTATAAAAACAGGTGTTCTCGAGTAACCCACAAAATTCTTTTTTTTCTCGAGTAGTACAGAATACTTTTATTGCAATGAAACTGCTTTCCATCATCTACACATTTTGATACATTATCCAAAGGTAAGAATCAAAGCATGGGTATCTCCAGTGGTTCAGGTCATTTGTTTCGCACTCAAACTGCCTTCAATAACCTACATATCAAAATACAGATTCCAATGGCTTTAAACGAAGCATGGGTCCTGTTGCAGAGCACTTTACAACCGGAAGAGTCAATTGGTTTTGTAAAAGATTTCAGATCTGGTGCACAAATTTTTGACCCAAAAACAACAAGCTGGACAATATCATGTACAAGAAAAAAGATGCCTTGCTGACAAAAAACTACAAAAGTGGGTTATGTAAAAGTGTTTTCAGCCTCTTAAAATATTTGCTTTTTTTCCTCCGTATAAAAACTTCTAAGCAAAAGCAAAATAATACTTCTTTTTCTACCCTAAGCCAGGACGAGTACGTTATATATAATTCTCCTTTCAATTTTGTGCAAAAAATGTATTGTAGCTTACAGTTATCATAAGGCCAAAATTTAAACCAGTTCACACTAAAAAAAAACAATAAAAAGAATCCTGACAATAGCTAAAACTGCATTCGGGATAAACTAAGCTAGAAGGTATAGAGTAAGGGGAAGGATAAAACTTTTTAAATGTTAACCTGTACGCTTTGCTAATGAAATCCGATTTTTGAACTTTTTTTTAATGCAAATAGAAATCTAAAAGAATAGAACAAATTTTGAATATGATCACCAGCTCGCACACTTGAAAGGTGCAGAATTTAGCAGACAACCAGTCAAAAACTAGGTGCTCAAAGTTTTTTAATATACAAAAAATAAGGAAAGTGGCTAACATAGAGGCAATTGAAACACAAAGCCCTCAAAAGAAGCTGTACAAATTAAGGGGAAAAACGCGCCAGAAAACATACAGCAGCTGTAATTGAAAAAATATATATTCAACTCTAGTACCGCGAGCATCCACTTGAAGAACTTAAAAAATTAAACTTTTTAACTCAACAGATATTTACAAACTGACACACTCGTACTTGGGATACTTGAACTCATGAATTCATGGATACAAAAGATGAAAACAAAAAGTCAGATCAATAATTAAACTTATTTGGGCAAAATAAAAACAATACAGTTATTCCCGAGTAATCCAAAAAAAAATTCTTTTCCGAGTAGTCCAGGATACTTAATTTGCAACGAAACTGACTTCAACTATCTACATATTCTGATACGATTTTCAAGGGGGGTCAAAAAAAAACGTTGGGGTCTATAGTTGTTCAGAAAACTTGGTTCGCACTCAAACACTGCCCTCAATCATCCACATATCTTAATACTGACTCCAATGGCATCAAAAGAAGTGTAAGGGTCTGCTGCAGAGCATGTTACGCCTAGAAGCGACAACTGGGTTTTGAAAA